TTGATTTGAAGATTTAATATTGTCATGAGATCAGTTTTTCCTAAGTTAATTTAAAAATGTATGATCATAATAAAAATAACAACAATACTTTAATGAAAAAATAAGCACCCAAAAATAGTCTTGGAAATTCTAAAAAAAGAGAAGAATGAGAAGCAGAGGTCTATGAGGCATTAAATTCATTATAAAACTTTATTAATTAAAAGTTTGGTACAGTGTATAAATAGAGACACAGACCAAAGAGACACAGAATCCAGAAATAAATCCCCAAAGGATTTTTTATGTATGATTTTTATATATAACTAGAGGCCCAGGGTGCGATTGAAATTGTGCAAGGAAGCGCCCTGCCTCCTGCCGTGCGAGGAGGCACCCCATAGGGCACCAGGCCGAGAGGTGCTCCATGCACCTCCTGGTGACTGGTTGTGGTCCTGATGCCATTGATGCCTTTTCCCTTCCTTCCCCACTGCCCTGAGCTAAGGGCATGAGATCCCCTGAACGGAACTGGGGCCCTGTATTGTGTGCAGATTGTGCTCCACAGGAACCTGCTTGATCCAGGGAGGGTTGGGGTCATTCACTGTGGGCTTGATTTAAATGTAGCCCCTGCTTAAGATAGGCCCTGGCTGAGCCATTTGCCATTTGCAGAGGGTTTATCATTCCTTCTGGCTGTTTCCTTGGAAACCACAAACTCAAGATAGCAATGGAATGCTGCATCCCCTTATCTGAAACCCTGCTTCTCTGGCACTGGGGGCGGCTGGGACCCACAGGAGTCAGGCTGGACGGGCACTGCAGGGGACCTGCTCCTGACTTGCAGCATTCCCTGGGCCTCCTGCCTGTGTCCGCTCCGGGGCCCCAGGGGCTCGGGCAGGCCTCCCTGTCTCTGTCTCCATCTCTGCTCCGGGCCTCACCTGTGTGTGCAATCTCCTCCTGTCTGATTGTGACCCATTACGGCACCCAGCCTAATTTGCATATTATCTCTTTTAAAATATATGTATATATACACACACATACACACACACAAACACACACACACTAGGGGCCTGGTACATGAAGATTTGTGCACAGGGGGTGGGTCCCTCAGTCCGACCTGCACCCTCTCCAATCTGGGAGCTCACAGGGGCGTCCTCTCCAATCTGGGAGTTGCAATCATATGAGTGAATTGTCTGAGACCCTAACCTTGTTTGGTTTGTTGCTCACAGAATAATAGAGGCATTTTTTTTTTTTTCTTTGCTTCATTGGTGGAGATTTCCTGGAAGTTTTAGGATATCTTCCCTTTAATTTTACCTATATACTCTGATTTTACTTATGTCTCTCATCTTTGCTTTCCCTCCACCCCCCGCCGCAACAGTAACTTGCTCCAGACCCACTTTGCTCTTAGTGTCTAGGAGATCCTTCTGCTATCAAAACTGTGATTCCCAGCATTCCTGGTGCTCCCCACATTCTGGGCTTCCGCTTCCAGTCCTGGGGCTGCCACCAGAACTATTCCCAGAATTCCTAGTGCTCCCTGTGCTCTGGGTTTTCCCTTCCTGCTTTGTCTCTGTACCACTGCCTCTGGCTCTGCTGTTGCTTGCGTATGCAAATTAATCCCACATCTTTGTCAGGTTAATTTGCATACACCTGATTGGCTGGTGAGCTTAGTGGAGATATGGTCAATTTACATGTGTCTCTTATTATATAGGATATACATAGAGATGACATTTCAAATCATTGGGGGGAAATGGTATTGAGTTATACTGAAAAATAGATAAAAGTTAAATGTAAAGCTTGATGCCTGCCTTATATAAAAATAAATCATTCTTTTTCTGTCTGAATTTGAAGGTTAGTCTTGCAAAACCTTTGATAGTTAAGTAAACAGACAAAATAGTAAATATAGTTTTAAATATTGAGACCTATATATCTTTTTATTTTTAGTTTTATATAGTATTGAAATCTCACTTAAAAACATTTCAATAATTAGATAGGGCTTATGTGGTTGTTAGGAAGAGAGCACTTAAGTTTGGCAGAATGAATGAATGATTTCTCTTTAAGCCCTGCCTTCTCTCTGTCATTTATGGGACCAAACTAACTAGTTTCTGCCTATAGCATGTATTTCTTCTTATTTATTTATTTAAAAAATATATTTTATTGATTTTTTACAGAGAGGAAGAGAGAGGGATAGAGAGTTAGAAATATTGATGAGAGAGAATCATCGATCAGCTGCTCTTGCACACCTCCCACCAGGGATGTGCCCACATCCAAGGTACATGCCCTTGACCAGAATCGAACCTGGGACCTTTCAGTCCGCAGGCCGATGCTCTATTCACTGAGCCAAACCGGTTTCGGCTGTATGTCTTATTGTGATAAACAAGGCTTTATTATACTTTGAGAAGTTTCTCTTGCTACCTCTTTGTAAGATAAACAATTTTTCTTCTCTGCTTCCAATCTTTTTGAGTCCCTGCATGATTTCCATTGTTTTTGGGAGCCTTTCCACATATTTTGAGGGTTGAGTTTCAGCGATATCTTAGTTTTACCAAAAAGGAATTTTTGTTTTTGTTTTTTGGATTATTTCTTGAAGAAGAAGGGGAAATTTTGATTTTGTCACTGTTCTCAAAGTAGGAGTCAATAATGGTATCTTCAATGTCTCCAGAAAATATGTTGCCACATTTTCATAAATTATATTTAATTTGGAGGGAAAAACCTTTCTTGGGATAACTAAAACATAGATTTTAATGTACTTTAATTCTTTTTCTAAATTTTATTTTTAAATGCCATGAATTTCATTTAATTTAGCCTTAAAGAATAACTTACATGTTCTACACTTTCAAGTCTTAAAGACTTGATACATGGAAATTTGATAGCTCACTTTCTCTTGCAGTAGTTCTGATCAAAACCAAAGGGAGAATTTATTGTCTATGATGGTGAATTAATGAGTTTTATTTTGGGTGTCTATTTCAATTCTTGTAGTTTATACACTTTGAAAATTACATGTTTTTGAAAATATGTTTTTATTGATTTTGGGGAGAGAGGAAGGTAGAGAGAGAAAAAGGGGGGGGGGGAGAGAAAGAGAGAAACATCTAAGTGAGAGAAGAAAGTTAATTAGTTTCATGCACCCTGACCAGCTATCAAATCTGCAACCTGGGCATGTGCCCTGACTGGGAATCAAACTGGCAACTTTTTGGTACATTGGATGATGCTCAGTCAACTGAGTCTCATTGGCCAGGGCAAAAATTACATTTTTTTTTTAAAGTAGTATCTACTCATTTAAGAAAATTTACTGATTTACTATAGAATTCCAGGCACTATCTCTGTGATTTCTTCTCTTGTGTTCTCTGTTTTTGTTTCCTATACTTTTTTTCTAATTCATCACTCAGCTTGCCACTATTTCAATTTGTGTGAAGTAGAGAAATATCATGGGACTTTTCTACTGTTGGTGGGATCCTTGAGATTATGAGTCTTATCTTTAACCTCTTTTCTCATCTTCCTTTCCTTGATAAAGAAAATATTCAGGGATTTTTTAGTGCTTAGATTGCTGTTCAAGTACCATGTGGGAATCTGGTGCTGCTTATTTTGTGTTTTCAGATTATAAAAGTAAATAACAATATAAAAGACAAGTATTAGTTATCCGTTGCTGTGTAACAAATAGCCCCAGAATTTATTAGCTTAAATCAACAAATGTTTATTATCTTTTATAGTTCTTGAGGGGCAGGAATGTGGGAGCAGCTTAGTTAGGTGGTTCTGGCTCATATACAGAGTGTACAGATTTCATTTAAGCTGCTGGCTGGGGCTGTATTCATCTCAAGGCTTAACTAAGGCTGGAGAATTTACTTCTAAGCTCACACATGTAGTTGTTGGCAGACTTCAGCTCCTCACTGGCTGTTTGCCAGAGACCTCTGTTCCTTGGGCATTTCTATAGAGGTCCCTGAATATCCTCATGTCATAACAGCTGGCTTCTCTCAGAACGAGTAATCCAAGAGAGAGAGAAAGATAGTGAGTGGCAAAGGAGGTCCAAGATGCAAGCTGTATGTAGTCTTTTATAAGGTAATCTTGTTGTGACATACTGTCCCTCCTGCCATGTGCTGTTGGTGTCACAGATCAACACTGATGAGAGAGGACTACACAAAGATGTAATACAAGGAGATAGAGTACACTTGTGACTATCTTGCATGCTGACTCCCAAGAATAGCAATAATATTTTAGAGTAATGAACTCAGTGCCATACTTATCTGAATTCATATAAAGACACAATATTTCTTTTATAAAATAATGTATAATGTTTGTATACTTAGTCTGCCATGTTTTATGGAGAAAGAGATATTTTGCTATATTTACATTAAATTTAAAAGATGACCTTGACAAGTTTGTGATTAGGATCATTCTTTGATTTTTTTTTTTTAGTACTATTAATATTATTTACTGGCTTCCTAATGCAGGGTTTAAACAATTATCCTCATAAAATCTTTGGTAGGAAGCACTTAGCTAAATTTACTCATCAATGTTTATTTGATTTTATTTCCCTCCACATAGCTTATTCTATTAGTTGGGAAGATCCCTCCAATGTTAAATAATAGGGAAAGAGTAGCTACTTACTTTTGTATAATGCTCTGGACTTTAAAAAAAAAAAAACAACATATGTTTTTCTTTTAATGCATAGGATAAATAAATTCTTGGATTTGATTCTTATTACGAAGGGATTCTAAATTTTGTTCTTAATCTTTTGTGGAGTTCATTGACCTCTTTGAGAATGATGAAAGCAGTGGTCTCTCCAGAGAAATGCATTTATTTACACAAAGGCAATTTTGTAATTCAGAAGAACCTCAGAAGGCCCATGGATTTTAGATTGAGAACTCTTTTGAAAGCACACTTATACTTCTGATGTCTATTAAAGAAAAGAGTACTTTTTTATTTTCAACATATAAAAGGAAAAAATAAACCTAACTCTAATGAAATGTGTATTTATTTTAATTTTATATGGCTTCTAATTTACTTATTCTAATGATTTTTGTTTCTGAATTTTGCCACCTCTATAGCATCTGGAGCATAAGAACAGTGCTTATATTCTTCTTTTCCAAGAGAACAGAAAGAAATAGTAAGTTGATTTTCTAAGTTTGTATAAATACATTAGAAAACTCAATGCATTGGTTTGTAATTAAATGGCAGGTTATGAAATCTTATATGGAAATGATAAACATGGTATATATTGAAGAGTTGTTTCCTGTGAAGCATAAGAAAGGTTATGAATGATCAAGATGGTTCCACTTTTTATTTGTGTTATTTCTTTCTTGTTCATTTAGAATTTTTATTTGCATAAAAAATAATTCATTTATTTAAATCAGGGGAAATTATATTTGTTAAAATAATCTTTATACAAATCTTATTATTAGGGAGTAAAATACGGTTATACATCTTTTGATTTATTTTATTAATTGCACCATTCTCTGTAACCTCACAGCTCCTAGGCTTTTGTTTTTATTGAAATATACAAATTATGATAAAATAGTCTATATTTGTTCTGTATGTATACAGATTTTAAGGATTTTCAGGTCTTAAAACTATGATCTATAATTTACCAAAGATATGCCAATTTAATTTTTAATAAAATTTATGTGACTTATTTTTTCTTATTTTAACTTTTCTTTTTCTGTGTGTGTGTGTGTGTTTTGTTTTAACTTTTCATTATAGAAAATTTCAAACATATATAAAAGTAGACTGAATAATATAATGAACTCTCTTGTAGCTTTCATACAACCTAAACAGTCTTTAACTCATGGTCAATCTTGTTTCATTTTTACCCCCACTTATCTACCTTCTGTATTATTCTGAAGTATATCCCAAGTATATTTATCCATAACAGACTTTTAAAATAATTAACACAATACATTATAACAGTTAAAAAAGAAATTTTAAAAATCCTGAGGTTAACATAGGGTAATAACATTACATAAGTTTCAAATGTACAACATTGTAATTTGATATCTGTATACACTATAGTTTGCTAACTACCAATAGTCTAGTTTCCATCATCACCATCTATTTGACCCTCCCCCATTTCCTTCCCCCCTGGAAACCACCAATCTTGTCTGAATCTGTGAGGTTTCTTTGGTTTTGTTTTGTTTATTTGTTTCTTTGAAAATAATTGTTAATATTATTAAATATGAGAGTATTAAATTTCTAGTTATCTCATAATTTGCTTTAAAAGTATTTTGTTTGTTTGACTCAGGATCTAGATAAAGGTCATACAGATATATGACTTTCAAACTGCCCTACTTACTCATTATATGAACCCAGTTGAGGTTCTGTGGTCTAGCCCTGACCATCCTTTACAGGCTCTTCTGATTCATTTGCCCTCTTTCCCAGTCGACTTGTCTGGGAAAACCATACCCTCTTTAAACCTAATTGTATGCTTAATCAGTGGCTGCCAAAACCCTGTCCTAGTGAAAAACATTTATATGCTTAATCTATGCCTGCATCAGAAAAGCTAAATTTATTAGAGGAAAATCATACAACATGTTGACCAGACTTATTGCAAACACCAATGTACACTCAACAATGCACAGTCTTATTTTATAGTTCCCTAGTAGATTCACAGTTTTACTTTTTGAGAGCATTGTTTAAGATTGTATTTTTCTCAAATTTCTAATCCCTACCTCCCTGCCAAAACTGCAGAAGCAAGTTAAAATAAAACCAACCAACTAACAAACTAACCAACTGAATAAAAATTCAAAAGCCACAAACAAAACCACACAAAAATCTACCTGGCCACTCTCACCTGATAGTTTCACTTTATGGAGAAAATAGATGTAAACAGATGAGAGCTACCTCTTTCACTAAATATATCATTAGCTCCATCTATTACTAAGTATGTTGTCATACTTCATGAAATTCTGGAAGAATGACTTTGATTCCGTATGTGGCTAAGCCCTCCATTTATGCCCTGGATTTTAGATGCTCTCTGGCCATCTCAAGAACTTTGCTCTTATAATTATCCTTTCCTAGAATTATTCTCTCTTTTGTATCACCTGTTTCTGTTGAATATTCTCTATTGGCATTTAATTCTGCCTTAATGCAATCAACTAGAAAGAAAAAACAGAGATACATTGATGTGAGAGAGAAACATGGATCGGTTGCTTCCCACACACTACCTGACTGGGGATTGAATGTGCAACCTAGGTATGTGCCCAGCCTGAGAATCAAATCTGCAATTGAAGTGAGGCAACACTCCAATTAACAGCTATCTGGCCAGGGCTATATAACCAGTCTATTTTAAATCAGATCTTGTGTGTCTTTAAAATTTCTAATGGCTTCTGGATGGCAACAAAAGTAAAATTGAATTCTTACCTCTATTTCCTGGTCTATCAGTTAATAATGTGGATTTTATAATAAAAAAAAACACGATAATTTTGAAAAAAACATCAAAAGTGCTTTATTCAAAGTAATGTCCATCGCTAGCTACACATTTCCCCCATCTTTCAGGTATTAATAATTTGTGGATACCATCTCAATAGAACTTTTCTTGTTTTGAGGCAAACCTATCAGAGACCCAATTTTCCACTTCTTTGTACAGTTTGAAGTACTGCATGTGCCATCCATCGGAACAAGTGGTAATCTGAAGGAGCAAGGTCTGATGTATAGGGCGAGTGGGTTAACACTTCGCAGGCAAGATCTTTTAATGTGACTTTCACTGGCTTTGAAGTGTGTTATGGTGTGTCATCATGAAGCAAAATTACTTTGCCATATCTTCTGGCACATTCTGGTCATTTCACAATCAAAGTGTGGTTCAAATTGATTTTTTGTTGTCAGTATCAAGCAGTTTTAATGATTTCACCTGGTTTTAGAAGCTCATAATATACCATACCTTCCTGATCCCACCAAATGCAGAGCATTGTCTTCTTTCCAAAGCGTTTTTCCTTGCAGTTGATGCTGATGGTTGACTTGGATCAACCCATGATTTTGTGCATTTGGGATTCTCAGAATAAGTCTACTTTTCATCACGAGTCACAATTTGATGCAAAAAAGACTTTCATACCGTTGAAACAACATTTCACTGATGACTTTTTGGTTTTCCATTTGTCTTTTGTTCAGTTGATGTGGTACACATTTTTCTTCCTTTAAAATCTTTCCCATTGCTTGTAAACAATTGGAAAGTGTTTGCTGAACAATGTTTAATCTTTCTGCAAGTTGTTTTTCAGTTTGACATGCATCTTCATCTAGTAATGCTTGTAATTGTTGGTCTTCAAACTTTTTCGGTTGACCTGGACATTCTTTGTCTTTCACATCGAAGTCATCACTTTTAAAGCGTTTAAACCAGCGTTCACAAGTATCTTGAGATGGAGCATGTTCACCATAAGCTTCCTGAAGTATTCAGCAGCACTTTTCTTCAAAATAAAGTAATGAATTAAACCTTTCCACAAATGCTCTTTTTTTTTTTTTTTTTTTTTGGTACAAAATTCGGCATTTTTAAGTGTAAAAATATCTATGATTTTAACACCTTCAGAACACATGAAGTTTTGAAGCTTGTCAATACAACAAAATAGCATACATATCAAATCACATATACATATCAACTTATGTGTAACGCCGTCTACTGAAAAAAAATCTGTATTATTAACTGGTACACCTGGTATGCCATTTCTCGAACTCCTTGCATTCTCCTTTTTTTATTTTTGCACCAAACATATTGGTCATCTTTTTGTCCTCCAAATAAATTTAAATTATCTGAGCCTCAGTTTCTTAATTTATAAAATGGAAAGAAATATTTGTTTTGGCAAGACTATTGCCAAGTACTGAACAAAAATACATGTAAAAGCATATAAATACTGTTAAGTGTTATACACATGTGGCCTGATGGTACTAATTTTTCTTTTTCAAATCTTACTCTTTTAAAATGTTTCTTGCCTTAGTTAATGGGTTAAGACCCAGTATTATATTGAAGTAGGATAGCAGGTAAATTTGTCTAGTTCCTGATTAACCATTAAGTAGGATATTTGATATAGTTAAAAAATATTGATACTTTTAAAATCAGATTAAGGAAATTAAGTTTATTGTATTGTTTCCAGTGGTATTTAGTAATATAGTAGCTTCTGGAGGATAGTAAGAAGTTTAAAACAAATATACTTTCTGACTTCATGGAGCTAGCAAAATAGTAAAAAATTCAGTAAGTCCTTAGAAACACTTTTCTAAGGAAATCAAAGGTGTGAAGTTTTCTATTTAAACATTTTTATTTCACCAGATATTGAATTTGTCATATATGTTTTTTTTCTCTTTTATTCAAATGTGTGAATGAAAGAGAAAGAGGCACATTAGGACGTGGTTATATAATAAAATTATGCTTTAAAATTTTATTTTAGGGATTCTTTTGTTTAAAATTTTTTTACTAATTCATTTGAATAGGTATTGCATATACATTTCATATAGACTTTATAAAAGATTCTCTTGCAGTCTTATACTTTTTTAGCATAAAGTCAGGGTATATATATATATATATATATATATCTGAAGCTATTTGTCATGTGCTTGCCTTTTTTGTCTTATTTTGTTCTTGCTTTTTGTTCTCTTTTAGTTTTATTTCCTTTGTTTTACAAGTTGGAAAGTATAGATTACATTAAGGGTTGGCAACTACAGCCTGTGACCTAGATCCTTGTATAGCTCATGATTTAGGAATGGTTTGAACATTTTTTTTTTTAAAGTTCTTTATTGTTGAAAGTATCACATATGTCTCCCTTTTCCCCATTGACCCCTCCAGGGCCACTCCCACCGCCCAGCACATGCCTTCACCCCCTAGTGTCTGTGTCCATTGGTTATGCTTTTTTGCATGCATAGAAGTCCTTTAGTTGGGTTTGAATATTTTTAAATCATTGAAAAAATTTAAAAGAATAATATTTTTTAGCATGTTAAATTTGTATGGAATTCAAATTTCTGTTTTTTTTTAAAAAAATATATTTTATTGGTTTTGTACAGAGAGGAAGGGAGAGAGATAGAGAGTTAGAAACATCGATGAGAGTCATCGATCAGCTGCCTCTTGCACACCCCCTACTGGGGATATGCCCGTAACCAAGGTACATGCCCTTGACCGGAATCGAACCCGGGACCCTTCAGTCCCCAAGCCGACTCTCTATCCATTGAGCCAAACTGGTTTCGGCATCAAATTTCTGTTTTTATTAAAATACAGCCATACCCATTCATTTGTGTTGTGTATAGCTGCTTTCATTCTATAATGGCAGAATTGAGTAGTTATGACAGACTGTGCTCGTGCTCTCAACACTTCAGACTTGTTGCAGCATGCATGACAAATTACAGTGACATAGTTATAATTTGACAGCATTTCAAGTGCCACCTGTATTTCTGTATTGTGACAATTTTATTTTTTTGTTACCAGTGCATATTCATCATATAAAAATAAGAATAGAAAGTTGGACTTTGAATGTTGCACTTTTAGGGTACATTGGAGTGTAGATTTTATTATCAAAATGCTATAGTTTTTTTTTTGTCTTTTCATGCTCCCTTCTAATTGGACACCTTCCCTATTTTATGACTGTGCTTTTAAATTGGTCAGTCTTTTGCAGAATATCAGCTTCAAAGTCCAAAACCCATGTGGTGCCCTCCTTTTTCTCTCTTTTATCTTGTAACATCTATTTCCTGTGAACATGTTTACCTTTTCCAGCATTTGTTGGCATTTCTCTATCCTCCATAAAAGTATGTTTCCTTTTTCCCCACACTTGACTTTTCTTGATCCTCTGTGAATGTATGTCTTCCTCTCTCCTTATCCTGTGGCACTTTTCTATTCTCTGAATGTATGCCTTCTGGCGGCTCCAAGGCCTCACCTATGCATTCCTCCCCCCTGGACACACTTTATTCCTAAGACTTCCTAAACCTGCCTATTTTATTCCTAAAATTCCTTTCAATAATATGCTTTAAAATGGATATTCACATGTTTGTTATCCCAGTACTTGAATGGTATTTATAAATTTAATTAAAAATTAAGAACAGTTTAAATTCTCTTTGATAAAATGTTTAAATCAAGGTATAACTCCTTTTTTTCCAGCTGGAATAGTATTCCTCTTTGTACTAATTAAATATTTTTAGATAAAAACTCAAAATCTAAAATTAATTTGTAAAGCAGATGTTGACAGTATTTCTAGAGAAAAACTAGAAACCTAAAATACATTTGTAAAGCAGACATCTACATTCATAATTCATTGGAATTGATTCTTTACCATGCCAACCTAAAGCAGACAAATCTTAGAAAAGTTTAATTTTGAAAAGTGATTATTGTTCTCTTCCTTTCCAAGTGCCTCCTCAGGTATAATACTATAGATTTTCAAAGTATTTTCTTTATTAGTGCTCAATACCTTGAAGATTGAATAACTTAATAATATATATCATTCACTTAATTCCTTATAAACAAAGAGAACATTTTTATTAGCAATATATAAAAAGATTTGGTGTTAATTTTATAAATTTGGATGGGATAACGAAAGGAAGGAGAAGTAACAGTAATGTTTCTGAAAACTGAATAATATATTTTTAAATTTGGAAAAATGTTGTAGTCTGTGTTAAGGCAATTTTTCTCTCTATTTAAGTAGCTTGTAATATACACTAAGTGGCCAGATTATTATGATCTCTGAACACATAATAATCTGGCCACTCAGTGTGTATATCATATATAATAAAAGGCTAATATGAAAATTGTCCCTTCAACCAGGAGTTTGACCAGCAGGCGGGCCGGCCAACCCCCCATGTCCCCTCTCCCTGGCCAGGCTGGCCAGACCCCACCCATGCATGAATTCATGCACTGGGCCTCAAGTATATATGTGTATACACTGAGTGGCCAGATTATTATGCATTCAGAGATCATAATAATCTGGCCACTCAGTGTATAACATAGGCAAAATATGAAATATATATGGGTAAAGATTGAGGTCATTTTTATTTGTACATATCAGTGAGAAATACTAAAATGAGAAAGTTTTCTTGCAGTTGCTTAATGTTTATTATTTGTCACAATTTTTTGTTTAAGTATCTTAATATCTCACTTAGCTTTGATTTAAATCTCTTTTTCTAGATGAAGCATTGGATGATTTAAAATCCCAGAAGAAAAAAATAGTAAGTGAACTGTTACTTAAAGTTAATTTATGTAAAACTAATAAAGAACTGAATAATGTTTATAAGTTGTAAGTAATGACTTCTAAGAAACAAATATGATTTTAGATAGCATTTTAATGATGAAGCTAAATTATGAATATTTTTGCTAGTTAAGACAGGAAAAAGTAGCTAGATGGACTTTTCAGATCCTGAGAATTTATATGGAAGATGAGAAGTAAGTAAATGAATCAAATTGGAGCACTAAATAAGGCAGAGGGATGAAAAGTTGTGTCCAGATTGATTATTGATTAGGGGCAAAAAAGGACCAAACATTTACATATGTCAGTTCTTAAGTTTTCTTGACATGATAAGGGTAAGAGAGGGAATCAAGAAGATTGATTGTAAGAGACAAATTTAACATGAAAAGACTTAAGAAAGGGGGAAATAGAGATTTTTCCCCTTTTGGTTTCTTTCATTTTTTTTGTCAGCAACTCAGATTACTTGGGTAGCTATTGTGTGGCAGTTAAATGCATACTTTGGATATGTTAGAAGGAGGGCCAAGAATGAGAGAAAGACCTCTAGATATTTAGAGGTTTATATATTAGTAATCTCTAACAAGTTAGTTAAACTTAGCTTTTGACTTGAATTTACATGTATTTTTTTCATGTAATTTTTTTGAAATATGAAAGTGATAATTGATACCGGTAGAACTATCATGTTAATTAGATGCAAATGATGAATATATTTTAGTCTAAATGTAATACGTTACAATTATGTATGAAATAAGTAAAATTAATATAGTTAAGATTAATGTTAAACATTGTTCTGTGAATTGGTAGTAAAAGACATTGGTCCTGAGGGTTTTAAGTACCTGAAAAATAAAGAAATTAAGTTCAAAAGGCTTTCTTATCTGTTTTGTTTACCATTTCTTCAATGTTCTATGGGGTATTTATCAAAATTGCATTAACATTTTTCATGGTCCTAAATTGAAACAAATATTTTCATTATATTTTATTATGTTTCTGGCATTTTGTACATTATGGAGCAGCTAGAATTCTAAGTGAGGAAATACTTCAGTTATATGTAGAATCTAAAGAGCAATGTAAATGAACAAAACAGAAATGGACTCAAAGTCACAGAACAGAATGATAGTTGCCTGAGGGGAGGGAAATTGGGGGGCTGGGTGAAAAAGGTGAAGGGATTGTACCGATTGGTAGTAACAAATTAGTCATGGAGATGTAAATTGCAGCATAGGAAATATAGTCAATATGTAATAACTATATATTGCGCCAGATGTGTACTGGGAATACTACAGGGAACACTTTGTAAAGTGATTGTCTAACCATTATGCTGTACACCTGAAACTAATACAAAATAATCTTATCTAATAATAGAATAATATGCAAATTAACCATCACTCCAAGACAAACATGGTGGCCCCCATAGCCACAAGACGGTGGTGCCAGTCCCTTCTGCCCCGCTCCTGGAGTGAGTGGCCTGTCTGCAGGAGCAGCGAGGCTGGATCTGCCTTCAGAGGAGGCAGATCCATCCTCCCAGCTCACCACTGCTGTAGTGTCTGGGCCTGTCAGCCCCGCCGGGGTTGTGGGGACCAAGCAGTGAGGCTTGATCTGCCCTCAGACATGGCAGAAAGGATCCGGACAGCAGGGCATGGAGGCTTCCTTAGTGCAGCAGCAGCAGGGAAGCCCCAGGCTCAGCAAACAGAGCCCGAACAGTGGGGCATGGAGGCTTCGTTTGCAGGGTGATGATGGAGGAAGCCCCAGGCCTGGCAAACAGAGTCAGGGCAGCAGGGCTTGGGGACTTCCTTAGCGTGGCAGCGGTGACGGGAGCCCCGCTGAGCCCGGCAGTCAGAGCCCAGACAGAAGGACATGGAGGCTTCATTTGCAAGGTGATGGTGGAGGAAGCTCCAAGCCTGGTAAACAGTCAGGGCAGCAGGGCATGGAGGTTTCCTTAGTGCTGCAGTGGTGGGGAAGTCCCCAGACCTGGCAGACAGATCCCAGACAGCAGGGCTTTGGGGGCTTCCTTAGCAAGGTGGCAGCGGGAACACCCAGAGGCCCCACAGACAGAGCCAGGACAATAGGGCATGGGGGCTTCCTTACTGTGTTGGCAAAGCCCCCAGGCCTGGCAGACACATCACACTGCAGGGCATTGGGCTTTCCTTCACATGGCTCATGGTGGAGGCAGGCAGAGAGCAGAAAGAAGGGCATGGGGGATTCATATCCACCTCCATGTACGAATTTCATAGACTGGGCCTCTAGTATTGAATGTAATCTTTAATTGAGAAAAAAACCAAAGTGAGGAAATACTGATGGTTCTCAGTAATTAGAAGTTGTGATATGATTGATATAGTTTTCTGATATGATAAAAAGGAGCGGGTTGTGGTGGTCAAAGTGGGTTGTAGTGGTCAGAGCCAAGCCCTGTATGTACTAAAATGGAGAAGTATTGGTTAAAGTAGAAAAGAGTAGGAAGACAAAAGAAAAAAAAAGAGAAAAAAGGACAAGAAAATAAAAAATTCCAAATGATGAGAAACAATTCCCATAGTAGTGGCATCACATCACTGGAAAACAGAATCTTGGAGCAAACTTGGAAAATTCTATGAAAGGGCAAGGCAAGCTATTTACTAATTCTTTAATAGCCATTGAAGGACTCACAGCATAAAAGGTGCTTCTTTTAGGTGTGACAGTTGGAAAATTCATTTCAGGGTTCAGTAGTTGAATATTAAAATGGATTATGAAGCATCAGTATTAACAGAATAGTTCAGTATAGCATTTTTCTTATAGTATGATTAAAGAAAACAAGTTGGCTGTTGTAACTTATTTTATTAGAAAAATAAGTTGGCTGTTGTAACTCACTTTATTAATTAGGGAACACAATTTACATTGACTTGAATGTTGCTGGTAATGATACTGTTGCTACTGGGAACTAGTCTCTGGCCTTTGTTGCTGGAGCACTTAACAGAGCTGCTTTGTTTGAGTAGCTTTACACTTTGTTTAGAACAATCGGCTTGTTAAGGGTGAAATAGTAGTAGGCCAGGGCTAGCTAATGATTGTGCTGGTTCAGAGAAGAAAAAGAAGGGACATTAGTTTGAGCAAAAGCTAAATAATGAAACTGGTCTTGTTCATTGATATTTAAGTTTCCACTCTACATCTATAGCTTTAAAAATATTTTTATTGTTTAAATGTCTCCAGGAAAATGACTATCAGTTTAAAATTATCCAACTCCTTAACCTTCTCTTTTATTAACAAAATTAATATACTATATTTACTACTTGATATTTTATTATAGGTGGTTTTCTTAGGGATGCATCTCTTTAATATGATTAGATTTTTAATGTAATGTGTAATTTGTAAAAGTATAATTTTTAACAATGATCGTGAATTATCAATTGATAAAAATAGTTAAATTACTAAAATCTTAAATTACTTAGAAAGGAAAATGAGTAACATCTTAATAGTGTTTTAAATCTAAGAACTTAATATAAATAAAACTAGGAATTAATCTTCAGTTATCTAAAAAAAACTGCCAAGTCTGGATGTGTATATTTTGCCACTCACATATTTTGTGGTCTTTAAATTAAAAAAAAAAAATCATTGTTCAGTATATAATCCCTCTGCATCCATGAGCATCCTATAAAAACAATTCAAAATCAAGATAGAACACATGAGTCAAAATGAACTCTTTAAATGGCTTCATGAAAATGCAATGTGTTTTCCAAGATAGCATGTGGTAACTTCTTTCTGGCATTTCTCAGGAAATTTACCAAATCCTGAAAAAAATCAGTTGAGAAATTGGAAACATGGAAAGAAGTGTTATAATTCTCAACTACAAATATTACTGGTTCAAAAGAATCCACTAATGTCACTTGAAAACAAGAGCAAGAAATGCTTACATTCTGAGCTGTAAGTTAATGTGGACATTTCTGGAAACAGGACCATGTACAAGAGAAGTGGAACAATCTAATTAGTCTTTCTCTTGTGGCCATGTTATAACTATGTTTTATGGTCCTGTCTTATTAATCGTGAGTTGTTCTCATAAATAAATATTAGTAAGCTTATATATCTAGTATTTTGGAAATAAAGGATGTCCTTAAATTGGCCATTTCAGCATGTGATTCTGTGTAAAGTTTCAAATATTACATTTTTATATTATCCAATAATGTTTGCTGGCATTTTGCAGTGTTTGAATATTCATCATGGGCTACAGATCTCTGTAAATACTTTAACAAAAAAGTGCAGAGAGAGAAAAGTTGTGATTATTATTGTGAAATACTCCTATATAAAATCAGAAAATGTTGTAAAATCTGAATTAGTCAATACAATATTGATATTAACAGCAAAACCAAAGTCAGGGTAAACAGACAATATTTTCATTGTTGTAAAAAGATGAGTTTAATGTTGCAACATGTATCCTAATGCTCTGAATACCTTTGATCACATTCTTAATAATTTAACTTAAGCCAATGCAAAATGAAAGAAAATTTTCTACATTTGGGATATTTGTCATGAAACTGAAGTCAAGAATATTGTCTAACGTAATTAATAATTTGTATATTTTAAAATTTTATTTCAATAATGATAACTTAAATATCAAATATGTGTGGAATCATCTTTCAAAACGAAAAATAAATTTTAAAGTTTAATCCTCCATTTTAAAATTTTTAATTTGATTTCAGATAGAGGAAGGGAAAGGAAGAGAGAGATAGAAACATCAATGATGAGAGTATCATTCATTGGCTGCCTCCTGCACGCCCCCTACTGGGGATCGAGCCTACAGCCCAGGCATGTACCCTGACCAGGAATGGAATAGTGACCTCCTGGTTCAGTGAGTTGATGCTCAACCACTGAGCGACGCTAGCCAGGCTCAAAATTAAAATGTTTTTGACATTTATTTTGTGTTAGTGTCTCCTTTTAGGAAACACACTTGCTTAAAATCTTTCTAGATGATGAAGAATGGAGATGTGCTTTGGACCCAATTCTTTTGACTTCAAAGTTTATTTTCTCCTTAGTCTCCATTGCCCTAGGAATTGTGTCTGTAAAGATATTGCTATGACATATGTCTGCTATTTTGCTGCCTATAGAGTCTTGTAGGATTTTTATGGTTTCCCGTCTTACATTTAAGTCCTTTAGACATTTTGAGTTTGTTTTTGTGTAAGGTGTAAGTTGGTGATCTAGTTTCATTTTTTTGCATGTATCTGACTAATTTTACCAGCACCATTTATTGAAAAGACTGTCTTGACTCCATTGTCTGCTCTTGCCTCCTATGTGAAATATTAATTGAGCATAATAGCTTGGATTGATTTCTGGGTTCTCTGTTATGTCTGTTCTTCTGCCAGTACCAGGCAGTTTTGAGAACGGTGGCTTTGTAATATAGCTTGATATCTGGTATTGCGATCCCTCCAACTTTGTTTTTCTTTCTCAGGATTGCTGTGGCTATTCTGGGTCTTTTTTTATTCCAGATGAATTTTTGGAGAGTTTGTTGTTGATCTGTGAAATATGCTGTTGGTATTTTAATGAGATTGCATTGAATCTATTATATAAGTTGCTTTGGTAGTATGGACATTTTAATGATGTTGATTCTACCAGTTTATGAACACGATATGTTCTTCCATTTGTTTATCTCTTTTTTCAGTGTCCTGTAGTTTTCCACGTATAGGTTTTTTACCTCCTTAGTTAAGTTTATTCCTAGGTATCTTAATTTCTTTCTTTTTTTGGTGCAGTAGTAAATGGATTTTTTTTTTTTTTTTTAGTTGCTCTTTCTGTGAGTTCATTATTGCTGTATAAAAAAAAACCCAATAGATTTCTGGGTGTTAATTTTGTATCCTGCTACATTGCTGAATTCATTTATTAAGTTTAGTAATTTTTTGATGGAGTCTTTAGGGTTTTCTATGTACAATATTATGTCATCTGTGAATAACGACAATTTTACTTCTTTTCTAATTTGGATGCCCTTTATTTCTTCTTTTTGTCTGATCGTTATAGCTAGCACTTCCAGTACTATGTCTAACAAGAGTGGTGAAAGTGGGCATCCCTGTCTTGTTCCTGTTCTTAGGGGAAATGCTTTTAGTTTTTGCCCATTGAGTATGATGTTGGCTGTAGATTTGTCACATAAGGCTTTTATTATGTTGAGGTATGATTCCTCTTTTCCCACTTTGCAGAGAGTTTTTATCAAGAAAGGGTGTTGGATTTTGTCAAATGTTTTTTCTGCATCGATTGACATGATTATGTGACTTTTGTTTCTCAATTTGATGTGTCACATTATTGATTTGCGGATATTGTATCAGCCTTGCATCCCCGGAATAAACCCCACTTGTTTCATAATGTAAGATCTTTCTAATGTGATGCTAGATCTGATTTTCCAGAATTTTGTTGAGGATTTTAGTAACTATGTTCATGAGGGATATTGGCCTGTAGTTCTCTTTCTTTGTGGTCTTTATATGGTTTTGGAATTAGGGTAATGCTGACTTCATAGAAAGAGGTTGTAAGTGTGCCTTCCTCTTGAATTTTTTGGAATAGTCTGAGGAGATAGGTTTTAGTTGTTCTTTGAATGTTTGATAGAACTCTCCTATAAAGCTTTCTGAAATAGAGCTTTTGTTTGCTGGACGATTTTTGATTACTGCTTCAATTTCATTGGTAGTTATCTATATATAAATAATTTCTATTACTATATAAAGTTCTGTTGCTACAACACTTGTCTAAAACATCAAAAATTAATTTGTGGAGATCAGGGATTCAGTTATTTGATATCCTATATAGATTATGTTTATTTGGGGATATATTCTATCATATATCCTTTCTCTAACTTCTTTACCAACTTTTCCCCAACTCTAAAGTGATACTTCCCTTACATCAGAAGATTAAATTTTCCTGCTTTGAGAATTTATTATAATTTTGAAATAGGAAAATGTTTTAGTTTCACTAAACCTAGGTTAATAAATCATTCATCTAAGCACTTAGCTGCTTAAATGTTAAATTGAGTTTTTCATGAGGAATCTATTAATTACTATTCTGGCAACATATTTTAACTGTATTTTTTAATTTGGTATGTGTGTTCTGTGTTGCATATTAAAATAAAAATCCTTTGGGATATGACATTTAATGAATCCAAGGTGCTATCAGTGGTCATTGAGAAGGAAAAGGTCCAGTTCCAATGTTTGCAAGAGCGTTTTATTCCACACATTAGCTATTTGTTATAACTTGACTGTCTTGTACTAAACTTAAATTTTTTTTGATATTGGGCCATAACTGCTCAAATGATACTTTACTAGTAATTACTTTAAAATTAAACCCAGTATTAACCCATAAAATGACTTGAGTGCATTGTAAATAAAATGCTATAATAATGAAGTATTTTAATTAAATTCTCTAGTGTGAGCATAGAACTCAGTAAAATTTTAACTTTAATTATTAGTATGTTCATGTTTTTTTTCTCTTTAAATAAAGTTATTTGATTCTAAGTGTAAAAACAGGGAGCTTTAGCTTTTAAAGTAATTTGAGCAAATTCCATGGCTGTTCTCCCAGTTTAGTGAGTGTTCACTGCATTTGCAGCAAGCTAATTGCTTCTGCTAATAAATAATCTAAAATCGATGCTGACAGCAGTTAATTGGCACAGAGATTTTATTTTGTAAAGCTCTTGGCTAACGACCTTCTTTAAATTAATAGCATTAAGTGCTATGAGGAAATAAATCTAAGGAATTGCCTGTCATTTGCTTGTCATGTCTAATAACTTCCAATAATGATGGCTGATAGATTTTTGCACATTCCATTATTGAAGTTGGTGCATGTAATTATTCTCCTCATTATATGTAAACAATTAGCAATATTTGGTATTTCCTTGCAGTAAAACTGTTAAATACAAGTAACATATTAGAGGTTAGAAGTCATTTTAAAATCTGGATTTTAATTATTTGTATATAGGAAGTCTTTCATGCTATCTGGATATATTATGTGCTGTTTATTTTAAGCCTATACTTGAACACTTTTTGAATGGAACTTATAAAGTAAATTGTGTGTGTTTTAAAATGTGGAATTTATGGAAATTTTTGTTTGCAGCTTGAAGAAGTCATGGAAAAAGAAACTTATAAAACAGCTAAATTAATTCTTGAAAGGTTTGATCCAGACTCAAAGAAAGCAAAGGTAAGGCTGTGATACCACTACTATTTTATTATAAACTGCACATTGTAATAGATCACTGTAATAACATTATTGCAATTGACAGGAGTTTGAGCCGCCATCTGCTGGACCAGATGTAACTGCAAGACCTGGACAAGGTAAATAACTTTGTAGAAACTGCTGCTGCTGTTGGAAAGATCCATATTTCCCCAAGTGAGTTAAAAAATGTGTTAGAGGTATATAAAAACTTATGTAGGATGCTTTTTTGTTAATTTTTATTTGGTAATTTGGGGTATGACTTGGAATGATGGCAATATGTTTATCTCATTTTGATTTTATAGCATTATGTTGACAAATGAAGATGTTTTCTATTGAGATTAAATATACAGTTGGTTTAATTTCTGAAATCTAAGTAATTTAAACAATATTTTAAAATTATTTTTTCTCTAAGTAAGGATTTCTTGGAACATCTATTTTTAAGAAAATTTTTACATTTTTATTATTTTTTGAGATTAAGTTTAATGAAGATTTTTGGCAATTTGAAGTTTCTTCTGAAATAGCACTTTTATTTAGGAAGAGAAAATAATTTAGAAATGAGGAAAAATTGAATACTGCTACTTAATAACATTAACTTTTTTGGAGGTTATATTGCCAAATTATTAGTGAAATCATCACAATTATGTTATTAATTATTACATAAACTTTAAAAATTGTTATTTTAAGTGGTTACATAAAGTTTTCCCAAGACTGCCATGTAAAAGATATTTTGAGTTTGCATTGGCTTTCTCTTTGTTCTGTCTAGAATAAAATAATGTAGTTTGTAAGGATTTTGTTGCAATATAGACTGTGCTATTTAAAAATTTTTAACATTTATTCTTATAAATCATCAGAATTGTAGTCTGATTATAAAGTTGGGATGACATATAGAACTTTGAGAAGTCAATTCTTTTATAAATGTCTCCAAAGACTCTGTATTCTAAATAAGCTATAATAGTTTTAAGTTTTCTAATTGGGAAGAATCCCATCCTCTCCCATAATTCCATAAACAGGACTTTAGTTTTTAGAAATATTAGCTTGCTCTTTTGATAAATGTAAAAGCTTACATATGATTAAGATAAATAGGAATCAGTACTTTCAATGAAACTCTTACTTCCATAATCAGTTTAAATTTTCTACTTAAATTTAAACTTTTTCCTAATAATTATAAAAAACTTTTTTTTGTCTATAGACTATGTTTCTGTATTTATACAGTATTTTGTATAACTGGGACTAACTTTTCAAAAATACTTTTTAAATAATCTTAGTGAATACATTTTTAAAATGTGATATTTTACAGCTGTTTGAAAAAAAATCTGTTGCTAGCAGTTATTTAAAGAAAAATATGACCTTTTCACTCTAATACAGATATATGATTCCCTTTCCTGACATTCTTAAATATTTATTAATATTTAGGCAACATAAGTTTCTTCAAGAAGCTAAACTTTCCTTTACTTAGAAGCTTTAATATTCAAATACATTTTTTCCTTCTGATGTCGTGTCATAATTATAGAAAAACAATTGCTAAAAACAACAACAATAAAACTTATTGTTGGTGGTCTCTCTGCTTTAGAATATTCTGCTTTCAAATATTTTATGGAGAATTAACATTTAGCTACATATAAATGAAGTGTTCATTTAAAAGAATGTATTAAAAAACTTATGTGCAAGCACCATGGAGAATAAACAGATGATTATAATATGGTTTTTTACTTTTAGAAGCTGATAATCTTTAGGAAGATTTATTCTGGAGTGTATTGTTCCAGTATTCCTGGCTCTACTAGGTCTATGTAATTAACTGCTTTTTAGAGTTAAGGTGATAAAGAATAGAGTTAATTTTGGACCTATATGTTTGAAATGCCTCTTAGATATCCAAGTGGCGATATTAAGGAAACAGTTGAGTATGAGTCTGGCAAACATGAATTATCTGGGCTGGAGATATAAATTTGAGTGTCACTAGTATGTGGCTGGTATTAAAACCGTGAGACTGGATGTGATTACTACCGATGTTAAATGTGGAGAAAAAAAAGGACTAAGGCCACCCTACGGCATGCTAACATTCAGCTGTTGGGAATAATGAAGATGAACCAGAAAAAGAAACTGAAAAGAGGTGGTCAGTAAGATAGGAAACCCAGGAGAGGTGGAGTCCTGGATGATAATTGAAGAGTGTTTTAAGGTAGTGGTCATCTGTTACAAAAACTACTGCCAAACAAATTGAGGGTCAATAATTAACCATTGATTTTTAGTAATGTTGAGTTCTTTGGTGAACTTGAAGAATGGGGGCAAAAGCCTGATTAGGGTGGGTTTAAGAAAGTATGGGAGAAGAGAAGTTGGAGACAATTGAACAAACAATTATTTTGAGTAAAAGGGAGTGGAAAAATAGGTAGCTGGAGGTAGAGCCATTTGTGTTTCGACTGTTTTCTTAATGAGAATGCATGGATAAGGGAGATGTTGGAGTTATGAAGAGAAGGTATAAAATAATTCTCTAGCAGAGTATGAGAGTAAATAGATTAGGAAAATATAGGAATGCCGGGGGACACTAACATCCACTTGAAGTTGATGGTCATCCATTTAAAGCATGTGTCTTTTCTAGTTGTGTTTAGCTGTATGGATACCAGGCATGGAGTAGGCAGAGAGTTGGCTTTAACCAGGAGTAAGATTTTGCCTAATGGATTGGATAAAGTGATAAAGGGGCAGGGAAGTGAAGTTGTGTACAAAAAGGGAAGGATTATAATACTGTATTATGAAATCTAAGGTGAACATGAGGGAAATAAAGACAATGAGACGGGAATAATGGACAGTCAGAGGTATTGCTAGTATTAAAATAAGGTCCTCAAACTACAGCCTGCAAATCTGGGCCCAAATCTCTTTTTTATGTCTCTTGAGCTTAGAATTGGTTTTATATTTTTAAAATGTTCTAAAAAATAAATAAGAACAAGCTATGCAACAGAAACCACATATGGTTAACAGAATATAAAATGTTTACTGTCTGACCCTTTACAAAATAGCTGGAAAGCTAAGTGTGTTTTGAGAGTGGGATGATTGAACTTGAGAGGAGTGCAGTTATTCTTAATGACTAGGATATAGAACTAGATAGTGACCATAGATAGGAGTGAATGACTGAAGTAGAGAGGCTGATAAGAATATTGGAGGATGCCATCTGTAGCTAAAATAAATTCTTAACAGACCCTTCTATATTTGTTTCAAAAAGGGAGTCACCTCTATATTCTCTTTACCTGTGTGTATAGCACTACATCTCTCTTAATGAAATTAACAAAAGAAAAGTCAATTGTATCCTGCCACAGGTAAATTTGAAATCAGTAAGTATTGCAGAAAAATTTAATGGCTCTTGCAAATAGATTACAACTTCTTATTTAAGTAAGAGTTTAGAGTTTACTTACTTCGTGGCATATAGGGAAGATTAAAGTATAAATCATTCATCTTTTTTGAGAGCAAATGGAATGGCACTTTATATTTTGCTGTTTTTGGGGGAGGATATACATTTGATTAAGGAAATCTGGAAAACACCTTATAAAATAGCAAATTTTATTTTTTGGGTGTTCTTAAGTGTCATTTCTTACTCTTACAGTTATCTATTGTTACAAGCCACCTCAAAACTTAGTGGCTGAAAACAGCATTCATTTGTTTTACTCATGAATTTGTAATTTTGGCAAGGTTTGGTAGAAACAACTCATCCCTGCCTCACATATGATAGAGCTGTCTTAACTGGAGCTGAAGCTCATCCCTGCCTCACATTAGATAGAGCTATCTAACTGGAGCTGAAGGATCTATTACCAAGATGGCTTAACTCACAAGGCTAACATGTTGGTGCTGGCTGTTGGTTTGTCTTCACCTGGACCTCTCTAATGGGGTCACTTGGGCTTGCTGCTAACATGGTGTTTGGGTTCTAAGAGCACACAGCTCAAGAGACAGAAAGTAGTCCTAGAAACTGGTACACCTATATTTTTGTGGTCAAACAGTAACAGCACAGATTCAAGGGAGGGGATATTTACACCCTTCTTCCTCCATTTGATGGGAGGCAAATCAAAGAATTTTGGATTCTTGAAACTGCCATATGTACCTTAATACAGTTAACCAAAGGCATTTCTATCCCCATCCATTTTTAGTGTTCATCTTAAATGGCACCATTATTATAAACCCTTTCTTCATCCCATCACTAAGTTTATATCTTCCTCTTCTTGAACTCTCCATGGTACTTTGTTGGTTCTTTTTTTATGGCACTTACCCTGCATATGTGTATTTTATATTATCTTTGCTTGCCACCTCTAAATGCAGCTCTGAGTCCCATTTAGCAGCGCTTTTCTTATAGTGGCTGCTTAATAAATGTTTGAGCTTAAGAAGATAAAAGGAAACCTATTTTTAATTCATGAATTTTGTTTAAATGTTATGAAAAAGTAATTAACCAAATGGGATAACCTTGGTGAACTTTCAGATCAAGTTAGCATTTTAGAAAGAACACTTTTTTTTTTTAAACATGGAAAATGGATTGGTGAGAGCAAGGCTGAGACATGAAGATCAATTTGGATATCATCTAATATATGTAAGAGATAAAGGCCTGCACTAGATAAACTTGTAGTGAAGAAGTTGAAAAAGGAAGAGATTTAAGAGAATTCAGGTTTAAGAGTAGATTGACAGAACTCAATGGCAATCAGAGTTGAAAGTGGGGAGTGGGAGAAGTCACAATATTGCTAGGTTTTTGGCTTGGGTAACTGGTTAGATGTTAATGTTTTTTTTTTTTATGTTTAATACTTTTTTTTTCTTTTTTTCTTTTTTTCTTTTTTTATTTATTTATTTTTCATATTTTATTGATTTTTTTACATATTTTATTCATTTTTTTTTACCTCCCTCCTTCCCTCCCACCCATCCCCTCCCTCCCCAGAGTTTTATGAACATTGGTTGTACTTATATGCATGTATACAAGTCCTTCGTTTGATCTATTATCTCCCCCAGATCTTCCTCCCCTCCCCACTGTAATTTGACAGTCTGCCTGTTGCTTTACTTTCTCTATCTCTGTCTCTTGGTTCATCAGTTCATAAAGAGCTTTATTGTCCACCAATGAGTGAGGTCATGTGGTATTTCTCTTTCATTGATTGGCTTATTT